CACACTGGAAGGGGCTTCCACATGACGGAAGCACACCACCAGACAGAAAGTTGACATGGAAGACGACAAGGACAACAAAAACCACACACGAGTGTCAAAACAGTTGTTGCACTTAGTGACTTAGTCTAATAAAAGGCTCGTTTTTTTTTTTTGTTTTTTTTTTTCGTTTCTTTTGTTTGTGTGACTTGTGTCATAAGAAACGGAGAAGAAAGAGAGAATATGAGCCAGGAATGCACAAGCCTTGAAAGAGAGGAACGATGAAAACAAACGAGGGGGGAAAAAAAAGCCTTCGGAATCATGAGCGAAAAAACTACAGGCCTGTTCTGTGAGGGCAAAAGTAAATGAGGGGCGGGAGTGAGAGTGGGGGGGGAGGAGGGGGGCGCCCACCAGGGACCATTCTTAGCTACAGGACCAATTGGACGAGTGATTCCATTATATATATATATATATATCGTCAAATAGAACTGCCCGGTAAACCGTAGGCAGAGAGGGAGAAGAGGACAACAAACGAGGGGGATACATATATATATCGTCACATCGTCAAACAGAGATGCCCGGTAAACCGTCGGCAGAGAGGGAGAAGACTCAGAAGAGGACAACAAACGAGGGGCTGTGACAAACTGTTTCGTCGGACTTTCACCGACCATATATAATTATATATTATTAAACAAAACTCCAACGAACCTGCAAGACAGAGCTTATGCACAATAACGAAAAAAAAAAAGGAAAAAAAAAACAAAACAAAACGAAAGCGGTTCTGCTTGGGCCCTGGGGTTGCAAAGAGAAGAGCCATGGTTCAACTTGTTGCCATCATGATGGCCCATGATTTCTCCTAGACTAAGTACTCCAACTTCACTCCTTCTCCAAGTGACATGATCCGTACCTGAGTGGGAGATTGCAATGGACCCTGGGGTAGAAATTGCTGCGTTTGAATCACGTTCTCATCAGCGCCTGCACCGCCCTGCATGCCATGAGTGACAAGTTGACAACAACAAAAATAAACAATTTATTACTTTTATAAAATAACATGTAACTTACTATATTGTATATATCGTCACAAATAGAACTGCCCGGTAAAACGTAGGCAGAGAGAGAGAAGCTGTCTCTTATACACATCTAGATGTGTATAAGAGACAGCCCTTCTCCCTCCCCCTCCCCCCCCTCTCTCTTTCCCTTCTTCCTCCCACCCTTTCCCTTCCCTTTTCCCTCCCTCCATCCTTCCCTCCCTCCTTCTCCCCATCCTTCCCTCCGCTCCTCTCTTCCTCTCTGTCTATGTGTGAGCTGCAGTAGACGTTCCATGTGTCCGTCTCGGAGGACCTTGTCTTAGTCAGTACCTTGGTGAAAGCTCACGGCGTTGTCTCAGCTTCAAAACCAGCCCCCCTTCCGCCATGAGGCTTAAAGTTTGCTTCTCGACGATGGATGACGTCCTCCAAAACAAAATAAATGTTCTCTTTCGCCCACGACAACGGCTCTCTGCAGCTGCTCCTCCATCAAAGCATACACGTAACACAGCCATACCACCGTTCCTAAGGCTTGTACAACAGCCCCCACATAATATCCAGAAAAGTCCAAAATCAAGTTGCTTGTCCTTGCACATTTTTTTCGGTTTTCCCCAATGCTACGTCAAATTTCGTGGTGGCTGATTCCCCGCTGAAGCCAATGACATGAGTAAGCTCCACTGTTTCGAGAACTTGAGAGTCTTTGAGACCCATCCCATCCCATGCATGCATGCATGCATGCACGTGGCGCAATCTCTTCTGAAGTCTACGTACTCTTATCTCGCCCGTAGCTTTTGCCTCTTGCCCCGCATAATAGATGGAGCTGTGCAGAAGGCTCCTGAGTCCACCCCCTAAACCCCAAACAAGCCGAGAAGACAGAGAAGGGAACAAAAATAAAAGTCGCCTTCATCTGACTAGCGATCGCTCATGCCTTGAGCGATCCATTTGGAGGTGGTAGTCCTCATCGGTGGATCACACGAGTCCCCGTCCCTCATTTTTTGCCTAAGGCCCGAAGTTTTCACCTCCCTCTGGTTCTCCACCCACTTCAACTTGCAATGGAGGTTGGGTGCGCCCACTCCCACTCAGTCTGGAGAGGGCTGTGTGCAGCTCCACACTGTGTGCAGAGGGCTGAGCACTTAAAGCTTCTGCAGAGACTATCTGTACGGTCTGTACCTATACCGCACTCTTCACACTACTCGAGGCACCAATTTGGTGGTGGTCCTGGATTTCCGGATTAACAGCAAAAAGCACAACACCAATCACTAACATGTGAGCCGAGGAAGAACAACAACAAGTCTCTTACCCGAGTTGAGTACACGATGATGATCGTCAGATGCGAGGTGTGGGTGGAGGCATCATGCATGATCCTGATGAAGATGCTTCCCCCCTGCACCAGCAATGTTCACTGAATAGCATATCACATCTCTCACCTTCGAGCCGTCAAGACGAAGTACTCAAGCAAATTTCTTTAATGTCGCCGGCAAACTAGTGGACAAAATGATTGAGCGCTGCGCGCATGGAGTTGGCGGCCACGGCCGAGGGATCCACGTCAGCAGTAGGCTGAGCTGTCACACCATGATGGCCACCGGCTTGAGAAGGAGAATGGACATGAGAAGAGGCAAGCTGCTCGGGACACCAGAGGGAAAAAGGTACCTGGTGAGAGCCAGTGTGGTTGAGCAGTGCTGCTGCACCGAACATCGACTCCGTAACCTGCATTCAAAGCATCATAACACACCCGAAAAAAAACGCCAGTCGAAGCCCAACCACCCACCCCTCGCCCCCCTTCCCGGGCTTCCCCCC